GGCGCAGGCGGAGGTGGTGTAGTGACAAGTGGCGCGCTTACCACTCGCGCGGCGCCGGGTTCAAATCCCGGGTCGACTCCCGCCCAGGCCAACCAAGCCTTCTACCCTCCGGGGACGGTAAATTGGTACCAGATTCGTCTGGGAGGATAAAACACTGACTTGTACATCGGCTGGCCACCGCAAGTCATTGTATAGGCCACATCGCATTCAATAAGCCACTACGATTCTGAATGGAAGTAGAATGCGTGCCGCATCCCACAAAGGGATTGATCAACGGCGAAGACTTTATCCTTTTATCTTTATTTTAACAGATGACTGCGGCGCAGTTTGTCGACGGAGGGCATTTTGCACTTTTCTTCCCATCGACGTGTCGGCCTATCTAGACAGCCTCTTCTCGAGTTGACAGGTTTTAACATGATGGCTTGACTACCTTGTTCCAGCTTCACAAGAGTTCACAGGTTTCGCCAGAGTGAGACATGTAAACCGGAACTGAGGAAGCAATGATAGTACAAAATGCCCCCCCCCTCCGTCGACAAACAGCTCCGATGACTGCTGTTTAACGTCGCAGTTCGGTCTCCCAAAGTTCCCACGAATATGCTGAATTGCCGGTTTGAATCTCGCCTGGACAGAAGTCTTGACCCCGGGTGAAATTCGAACCGGCACCTCAGTATAAAGTCTGTTAAACTGCGGGGGTAAAAGGGATCCGTGGTGGGCAATGGATAGCGCGTCTCACACGGATGCGTGAGGTTGAGTTCTAAGTAACCGATGAGAGTTCAATTTCTTTTCTCGGTTGAGCCTTTTCATGTTTTGGGAAGAATTTCAAAAAAAAAGGCATGGTTGAAAGAATTCGTTTCTTTTTATGTTCATTTCTGATTAGGTGTTTGCTTTTGTAGTCGTCGTGGCCCATATATCTGCTCCTGTGGGCAACCACTGAAAATTGCGTGGGTGAATGATCTGTTAGAAAATTTTGTCCATTTCTTATAACTGTGGCACATTGCTCTCATACTTTTCAGTGAACGTAATTTAAAGCTCGTTTTTAGGGAAGAGTATCAACTGAATCACCTCATCGGAAATCTGTCCAAAACATTCGTTGCCCTCATCGATGGAATTGTTATGGGTGGAGTAAGCCTTTCTCGGTTCCCTACTCAACCGTTTTGCCTTTTGTTTTCACTTTACTCACCCTTTACTGTGTAGTTTACTTTTTATCTTTGCAGGGATGCGGCCTTTCCGTCAATGGTCGATATCGAGTGGCGACTGAGCGCACCATGTTGGCTATGCCGGAGACAGCACTGGGACTGTTCCCTGACGTTGGAGGCTCGTACTTCCTCTCCCGGCTCAAGGTTCGCCGTGGTTACCGTATTTCAGAAAATTTTATCGTGATTTACAGATTACCGTTATTAAACATCTTCGTATTATAGAATAACCTCGGCTTGTACTTGGCATTGAGCGGATATCGACTTCATGGCGCCGATGCTTACCATGCCGGTTTGGCCACCCATTATGTAAGAGTGCAGAGTGCTGATTTGAACCCCGATGAACCCGTACCTTAGTAGCCAATCCGCTTACGTGTAGGTACCATCTGCGAAACTTGCTGATCTACAAGGGAAGCTGTTGTCGTTGAAAACAGTCACGGACAAGTCCGTAGATGCCACAATACGCGAATTTGAACCATCCGACATTCCAGCATTTACCCTGGAGGAGCACCTTCCGACTATTAGTAAAACTTTTAGTGCTAGGTGGGGAGTTTTCACATATTCCTATGTTTGTCTTTTTTTGCATTTTGGTGGTTTGGATGTAATATTTTGAAGTACATTCATCTTCTGTCTGAATGAAAGAATTCAGATCCGTTGAGGAAATATTTGCTAATCTCAAGAAGGACGGCTCGGAGTGGTCCCAAAAGCAGTTGAAAACGTTATCAAAGATGAGCCCTACCTCAATGAAAGTGACATTCAAACAACTTGAACATGGGGCCAAGATGAGCTTCAGTAAGGTAGGTTCTAGATATTGTTGTGGTTCTCCTGCTGTATTGCTTTGCACTACCATCCACGAAATACTGCTTTCTGTCACCTGTTCTTCCATAGTTTTATAAAACAAGTCATCTAGTATATACTTTCTCTTAAAATAAAGCATTGATGGCTCAGGTGAAAGCTTGAACTTTTTGTTAGCTTCTGCCAACTTCGGACAGTCTTGCTCTGCCAGCTTACTCGTCCTTGGAACATCAGCTCTGCTAACCATTGTGTAACTTAGGGTTGTGCTTTCGGCATTGACTAGTCATTTTTTTATAACGGGCCAGGCTTCCTTACAGAATCGTAGGGGCAGAACTCTTCGCTTCAACCGGGACCTGAACTCTTACCTCACTTTCGAAGGTTGAGGCTCTCACCTCACTAGCCTTCAGTTGTGTCGATTGAGGGATCCTATCGAAGAATAAGCACATGGATAAATACTGAAGGAAATGGGCGTGATTCTGCTTGATGGGGCATTCTGCTGTCCCGTAGATCATTGCCTCCTGTGGTGACCTATAAAGTCTTATAAAGCTTTGCATTAGCCGCAGCGTCATTTACATTAGACCAGAATATACAAGAGGAGTGATACGTGATAAATAAACAAGAACTGGTAAAAGGAACAAGCAAACTAGAGCAATGTTTCCCACCCCTCTTCCTCTCCTTGAGCCAGACAGAGCGGAAAATGTGCCAAGATTCGTAGGGAACCGAAAAATCAAAATTGAGCATTTCTTTTCGAACTGTTTTTTTTTTCGCTCAATGTGACACTGATTAAGGTTTTCACGATGGAGTATCGTCTTACTCAGCGTTCTCTTGAAGATCATGATTTTTATGAAGGTTGCAGAGCAAGTAAGTGCCTTCACTCGATTTCATATACTAGTCCGCTGTTTATGAGGTGAAACATGAAGCTGAATGAGCAGTTGAACTCTGGTGGGTTGTTGCGGTCTCTCGAGTCAGCTACCCAGAAAATAATAGCTAGATCGTCGTCGCAAACTGCAGTCTGCTTGCTGTCTTCTTGCTGCAGATGATAGGCCATGTCAAGAAGAGATGGGTTTGCGCGGCGGCTGCACTTTTTTTCTACTTTTTTCTCTTTTGGTAAGCGACAGGGCTGTATCATATCGTTCGTTTCGATCCTCTACCATCAGTTTTTGTCACTTACTTGCTTCAAAAACTGCTGGAGAACCGGCTGGCGGCGCGCCTCAGTGATACGCCCTATCTTCCGCAGCGAACAAGACTGTAGATCTGACGCCATGCACGCGGAAATAACGAACATGTTTCAGTTATAGGCAGAATTACTCGAGGCCCACACTTAATATCCGCGTACTATGTTCGTTTAATTACCGCTACGCAAACAAAAAAAATCTGCCATTTCACAACTTCGAAGTTATGATCTAATCACCCTTTCTATGTTACAGTTCTCATCGACAAGGACAGAAATCCGAAGTGGAAGCCTGCAACCCTAGAAGAGGTTTCGGACTCACACATTGAGCAATATTTCGCTCCACTAGGCCGCGAAGATATATTCCTGGACAGTTCGACTTCAAAAATATAGACTAGTCTGCATCCCCGGAACTTAGTCGAGTAGGGAACTAACAATTAGATATGCAGTACTTACTGTAGGATTTGTCCCTCTAGAATTACCTCTAACTGTTTTGTACCGATCCGATATGATTGTACGGTACCGATCATAATGCTCACTTGTGAATCTATTTTTGTTAAGAGTTTTTGTTTTGTTATTATGAATTGTTTGAAAATTAGATTCAAATTCTATGTTGTCTGGTCCTTTCTGAGGTGAATTTATCTTCAGGTCTATGTACATAAATTGTAGCAGATTGTTGAAGACTTTTGGCTGCTTGTTTGCGTGACCCGTTAAGCTATTCATATAAAAACATCCATAGGATAGAATGAGAGGCGCCATGGGGATGCTAAAATGGTGAGGTCAGTACGCTCCCTTTATAAGGAGGATCTCGGCTCGACTCTCTTCAGATACCATGACTATGGCCCAAACAGAGCAGATGACCACTTCATATCAGGGAGATGCGGAGGGCGTGGAGCGGCATCGCTTTATAGAGGGATACCGTCATCAATCAGTAGCAACGGCTTCGTGCATCAGCTGCTGGGAAGGGGTCGTTTTTGGTTTCTTGCGAGGTTTCAATCAACGGAAGTGGGGACGATTGATAAACTGAGAATTACCGGGTTTCTGATGTCGAGTTGTAGACCGACCGTTTATCCCTACGACATTTTTACTGGGAACTATAAATGAAGAATAGAAAAGGATATTGCTTCATTGAACATCACTTATTGAGTTGCGGTAGCATTTCATTCAGAATCGAAAAGGATCATTGCGATAGGACCAATACACTTTACTGTTTTGCGTGTCGTGTTTCAAGACTGCCTGCTCTGATACCACATTGGAGGTCTGGTTGTTCTTGGCGGAAGGGAGCCAGTCTTGGATATGTTCCTTGAACCGCGCGCTCATAAACAGCCCACTGCCAATACTGCACCTTCGTCGGAAATTTTAAGAGGCGAATGAATATACGCCCACACAGAGGGGAAGCCGTAGGATATTTCCAACCACTAAGCCTTCTCTCTCTTTCCTCCCTCGTTCCTTCCTTAATTCCTTCCTTCTTTCCTTCCTTTTTTTCTCTTTTGCCTCTTCCTTTTCCACTTCCTTTCAGCTGCTCAGCCAGTAGTTTTCCCGGGGATGGGACGGCGTCATTTGAACGCGGCTGCTGGGGCGGCGTCATTTGAACGCGGCTGCACTCTATCAGGGATAATATTATTCTGACACAACTGCAATCATGTGTTTCTTCAGCACAAGACAGGATGACGTCTCAAATGGAAATATCCCTCAACAACGCATCTCACACCATGTTGAACCATGTACGTGTCCACGCCCTCCTCTTCTTCGGGGTATGGAGTGTGTGTAGGCGGAGTTGGACTTCTGCCTGAAATGGGTCATATTGGATGCAGCGGTGGAGTCGGAACGCGTATGATTTCGCCAAGGTCACCGTTCGTACCTTGTGGTTAGGCAACGGGGTTACATGAAATTTCACCTTTTTTTCCTCACACAACGGCTGTTTGATGATCTTACCATTCCAGAAAAACAAACCATGGCTCTCATCCCGTCCTCTCGTTCGATATAGTTCTAGGCATATATTCGTCCTAGTGGGGCGAGTCAACATTCAAGATTGAATTCTACGGAAAATGCTCCCCAGCACAGGTGTGATTTCAGGCAACGATACCCCACTAATTACCGGGCTCTTGGAGCGTTCTCTCTTCGACAAGCCAGAAACGCTAGGAGGCGAAACTTACCCGGAAGGTTAGCTCGTTAATAGAGAACTTCGAGAAAACGCCGGAAAAGCAGCGTCTCTGATAAGCGTTCGGCGAGCCAAGAAATGCCAGTAGGACAGCTCCCCTTCCCCAGCATGACAGGAGGATTGCGTGATATGCTGGCTTTTTAGGGACTAATAACCTTGGGGGCATGACCCGTTGTGCAAAATTAGAGTTACCGCGACAGGGATGGGAAGTTTGCACAGGTCTAAAGGGAGTTCCAGAAAGGCC